GCACTTGGCGATAAGAGCCGATTTGGATCGAAGGTGAAGATCAGTGGCCAAAGAATTTCAAAATCAAGGAATGTTGAACCAGAAGAAGTCGTCGAAGAAACTCAAAATATAGTTAAATCATTGACCCTTTGGCCATCTGGCATAAGTTTAGTAACTTCAAAAGAAATCAAAATACAATTGCTTATTGCATAAGCGCAGAAGAAAAAGAAAAACACATATTTTAAGAAACGAACAATTATAAAATTATCACATAGGAATTGAGCAACTCAGAAGTGTAATTCAAAAAAAACTAGTGGGCTTTTGAAGTGAGAAACAAGCTAAGATTAAAAAGACGAACTGTGTTCCTTGTCAAAAACTTATCAGAAAAGTGAACACCCCCATGATGGCGGATCTCCCCGAAGTTAGAATGGACTTCAGTAGACCATTTAAGAACACCGAAGTGGAGTACTTTGGACCATTCAAGTTAAGGGTCAGAAAAATGTCGGAGAAAAAATGGATCTGTCTGATGACTTGTCTTACCGTAAGAGCGGTACGTTTAGAAGTTGAACAAGACTTGTCGGCAGAAGCAATGTTGAATTGTTTGTTTCGATTTATTGCGCGAAAAAACCATTGCAATCTCATCATCAGCGACAATAGAAAAAACTTCATGGGTACCAATAATCATCTGAAAGAGCAGATGAAGGGATGGAAAATAGACTAAGCAATGGCCAAGAGACACATCGAGTGGCGGTTCAACCCTCCCACTGCTCCTTGGAGAAGTCTGGGAAAGACTTGTGAGAAGTGCCAAAAAAGCAATGTATAATGTCTTAGGAACAAAAAAAAGGAATGCAGACGTCCCGAAAACGACAATTTGCATCGTGGAAGGAATCCTGAATCAAAAACCCCTTATACCCGTTTAGAATGAATGGAAAGTTATGAGGCGATAACCCCAAATCATTTTTTGATTGGATCGTCTGGGTCAGAAATGTTTTGAATCTACTCAGAAGAGTACAAAGGTCATCGTAGGAACTTGAAAGCAGCCCAATCAAATGCAAATCAAATCTGGCGCAGATTTCAAAAAATATATATTCCGATGCACTTAGCAAGAACTAAATAGTTCAAAGAGTTCAAGAATGAGCTTACTGAAGGAGACCTTGTATGGATAGTTGACCAACGAATATTCACTGACAAGTTTCACCTACTAAGATTGGTTAAATTAAATCACAGTGAAGATGACATTAGTAGATTAGCAGAAATGAAAACGAAGACTGGAACGTACAAACGACCTTTAATTCGGCCTGTGAAAATACTAAAAGATAATGAAAAACTAAAATAAAAAAAAATTAAGTTAACTATCGTTTCCAATTTTTAAATGGCAAAATCCATTGTAATTTTGGCCATGGTCATGTTATTTGATTGCAAAAATGTTATAATACCCACTAATCAGTTATTACCAACGTTTCCCAAAATGATTTGAAAACCCTTCAAAAGTTTACTCATGTTGTTATTATGTGCGGAGGTAATTAGACATGTGATCATCCACATAAGGATATACCCGCAAAACGTGCTGGCGAAATTACCCGTAATATGATTCAAAACGCAAACAGAAAAAACTAGTGTGTCAGTTTTTCCACGGGAATCATGGGACACTGAAATAAGCGTTCTAAATACTTTCTTGGAGAAGAAGTTTAGAAAAAAATTTTACAGTTGCACGTAGATCCCGAGTACAAGTCGTACAAAGACAGAACGCATTACAATTAGCGTTTTTATCACACAACTCTAAGTCTTTTATTAGAAAAAAAATTAATTACTTTTTTCAATAACTCGCTGATCTTGTTTGGCAGGTGGCTTTCAAGATTTGAGGTTTACCCATTTCAATATTTTTTGTGCACAAAATTATCGTTGATTATTTATTTGACTTTACAGATATTCTAATGAATAATACTATTTTAACCTAAGATGCCATATTAGGGCCGACTATGAACGCCTCCATGGGCAATTGAATTGCCCATTTTTTGGTTCATATTTTATATTCAGTTTCCGATTTGAAAAACTAAATCCCAAATTCATTTATATCCTTAGGCAACATAACATATGACAGAAATCTTTTTAAATGTCGACAAGCTACAGAGATTGGGACTATGGAGCGACGCAATTTATGGGCAAAACTGAAACTGAGCAAAGATATACTACCCACAAATAGCCAATAGCTACAGTTTTGCAGTTTTGTAAGAAGGTCTGCGAAACAGTTTTGTTGAATTGAAAAAAAGTTAAAAGGGAAAATTGCAAAAAGTATTTGCAGAGAAGTCGTAGAAAACCCAAAAAAAACTAAGGTAGAAAATAGCAGAATTGAAATGAACATTAGGAAGTTCGCATAGTTTTGACATTTCTCAGTTGAAGATTCGAATTTTTATTATTTAATTACTTTATAATTGTAATGTTTTATCACATCTTATTTCAAGTTGGAGTGGTAAGGAAAGGCAATTATAAGCTAACTTAAAGTAAGTTTCATTTATTGTAATAGCAGAACATTTCGTTAAAATTTCCGAACCGATAATTTTTTGAAAATACGATTTAACCTCCGTTTTTGTAGTAATTCTGAAACTTAAAAAAATATGCTAGAAAGTCCGTTGACGCTGAAACTATTTTGAGTGACAAGCCGTGATAGCGAAATAAGGAAAAATGACACTGTTATTGAACATACTTTGAACTCACTTTAAACTAAAATTGTGACCTTTTTCCCATAAAACTAGCCTAAACTAGCATGAAAGCCTAAAACGTAAATTCAATGTTGGCAGTAAATTAGGCTTACTCGATAACAGTTTTCGTTCAAAATGAATGAAAACATTAAATAATGAAGAACATCAATTTAGAAGGCTAACAGTTGAGAAAGAACTGGAAAAAAAACTAAGGTTCTACAAAAAAATCAAAAAAATTAAACCCAATATTTTTGACACCGACGAATATTTTATATGTCGTTCGAGTCACTACTGAATTCGCTTTAATTTGATATAACCATCAAATCAGCCCGATAGTTAATTTTGGTAACTGATTTTGTCTGAAAAACAACAAACTAACACACACCCGAAGACAAAATTCCCTCCCCACTTTCAGTGATTGGACCAATATCAAATTTGAGCGTAATCGACTCTTAAAAACGAAAACAACCAATCGACCAAAAAAGTCTTTTTTCATTGTCATTTTTTGTATGAAGCAGTGAAATAACTTCAAGGTTGTTTCAAAATGTATCACCTTCACCCCGATGTTTATAGACGTACTAGCGCCTTGTTCGGTTCAGTTAGTACATTTTAATTTATTAAGAAATTATATCAGACCAGGATAAATTATCGCAACGCTACACAATAAAAACACAAAGGCGAAGCTGAGCTAGCAACAAGTACATCGCTAAAACAAAGCCAACAGACAGTTAGACAACAGTCAATGAATGCAAGTAAACAAAAAATCAAGACTTGTTTTTTGGAAACACCTCAATTTTCGAAATCCAAAGAATTGGCCTTGAAGCTCTTTGAATTTCAAGAACATTTCATGATTGACACTTTATCTTTATATTAAGCTAATTTGACAACACAGGATCAATAGGTAAAAGTTTTATTCCGCTGAAAAATTTGAAAAAGAAATTCCATTTTCAAAACTAGAAGTCGATCAATTTTTTTGTGACCTTTTTATTTTTACTGTTCAATTGTGGCGTTTGCCTTTCTTTCAACAAAATAAATGAACTGAACCTTAAACATCAATTTCAAACCGCGAAAAATAATTTAAGCCTGAACAAGTTTTAAGGCTTCTCCAAAACAAAAAACAAAAAAAGACTTATAAGAGAGTCTGAACTACATTCAACAACTTTTAAGCAGCAAGACGTTCAAAAACTAACATTTAGGATTTTTATTGATTTACCTTTGAAAAAACAAATAGAAAAACAAAACAAATCGAATATTTTATTTTATTAAATTTTTGTAGGTTTCTTAAAAAGGTCAAAATAGTGTCGATGTCGAGCATTTAAAAAGTGACATCAGATCGTCTTATCAATTTCTGGAATCAATTCGAAATTTTTTGGAGACAAAAAACTAGAAAGTAAGCCAACGGAATTAACGCCGACAGCCAATAGACTGAAACTCAACCGAACTATCTCAGCAAAGTCTAATTAGAAGTAAAAACATGTACTGCCAACATAGTAGCCACGAATGCCATGCATGTATTATTCGGGAACTAAATAATTAAAGCGAGAGCTCAACCGACACCCATTAAAACAAAAAACATACGCTAAAAATTATATCGAAATTATATAAATACATGCAACTAGATCTATCCAAATGTATGAAAATAGTTGAAAAAATCAATAAGCATAGGAAGAAAACTTATCAAGCTGAAAAAGATGACAATATCTAAACATAACCCCTTGAATAAATAATCCAAATCAAAAAAAGATTCCAAAAGATTTGAAACTAAATCAAATTGAAAATCTTTTAGTCCTACTCTCCCTCAAAGCTCACACGGACACAGAAAATTTTTGGTTCATCGAACGGCGCATTAGAAACCTCTAAGCAAATGCAAAGTCGTCCGAAAATTATTAGTCCAAAAAAGGACAAAAAGCAAAAATAACCAAGTCGAGTGGGTAGAATTTAACCAACATAAAAAGCAAACCTAGAAAATGACGGATATTTAAAAATTAAGTTTCACAATAAAATGCTCATTATTTGCAACAGAGAGGACTTGGATTTGCAACAAAGAGAACAAAGAGGTGAATGAGTCCAGGAAAGAGTCTTAAGAACAAAATTGTTTACCGGGAAAAATGTCTAGTACCCGATTGCAATAACCTTGCTTACTATAATTATCCCAAATTACCATAACAAGCGAAGATGAAGCTTGACCAGGAAAGTTAGATTAGTCCTTCTGCCGTCCCGTTAATTACTAAGTTTTGAAGACATTTTTTCTTCACAAACAACCTGGTAAAAAGAGGGGAGAACGGCAGAAGTGTTAGTCTTGTTTTTTGAAAAATAACTTACTTTCCAGAAGAGTGCTTCGATGTCTATTCTTCCTCCTCCTCTTCCTCCTCCTCTTCCTCTTCTTCTTCCTCCTCCTCCTCCCCGTCGTCATCCCCGTCGTCGTCTCCCCCCTCGTCCCCGTCCTCCTCAGCCCCCTCCATCATGGCCGCCTCCTCCATCATGATCGCGTCCAGCATAGTCTCGTCAATTTCGTCGTTGTCGCCCGAGTCAGCCTCGTTGTCATCCTGCAAAGATACGCTTCATGTCAGTAAAGACACGTCACACTATTATGTAAAGACACGTAACTATACTTTTGTAAAGACACATAACTATACCTTTGTAAAGACACGTAACTATACCTTGCAACAAACCGTAAATGCAACTTTTGACGTCGTCGCAAGTAACGTATAGTTACCAATATGTGTTGCGTGTCAGACAGACGTATCTTTTGTTTGCCAAGAGGCTATCTTTGTCTCGTAACAGCAGTAAAGACACGTAACTGCGATGTCGTTTGCGAAACGTTATATACCAAGCATGAGTTACTTTTTCACGCCGCAAATTCAATCTCTAAATAGAGACGACTTATCGCCTTTTTCAACTGTTGTTTTTTCTAATGATCATGAAAATTGATCTACTAAGATGAATATGGAGGGGTCTGATTTTTTGATGAATATGGATTTTTTTTCTAAAGTGACGCGATATTCAGTGATATATGTGAGACCAGACATAAAATAATGCCGCGCAAATCAAGCTAAAACTAAAAGAAATTAGTTTCATTATTTAATAAATGTCATTTTTTACACTGTATAGTTGCATAGTCTCGTTTAAGTTGATGAAAAATTTTGACCTTGTCAGCTATTTTTTTTTGGATAAGAACTTTCCCTTAAAATATAGCGACTCAATTGTTGCACTGGGGTAGCCACATTATGATACAAATATGAATCCATACTATTTAAAATAGAATCGTAGAAAATCGTTCAACACAGTTATACCACACAGTTAAACACACAGTTCAACCAGTTAAACACACTCGCAAACTTTTTTGTTTAGAGACATTAAATCACCCATTCATAATAAAAAGATGGAAAAAATAACAACACAGGCGGTTTTTGATATGGTTGAAAAACACAAAGATGATCTGAATCTGAATTATAAGAAGAAAAAAGCAGACAAAAATTAAATTATTCGTAGAAACTTAAGATAGATGAGTGTCTTTCCTGTAAAAAAAAAAGAAGTAAATGACTCTATTTTGTGCTTTGGTGATTTTTTATGATTTTTTTCCAAAGTCGTGGATAAACTTGTTCATGTTTTACGCGTGCAACATTTCTTTGAGTCGGTTTGACTGGATTTTTGACCAAGGAGAAGGGGGGGGGGAGGTTGGATTCGAAATTTGATGACTGAGTTGATTTGTTGATTTCTTACTAGCGTTACAATCCTGTTTTTTCGCTGGAAACAAACAAAATAAACACTCATTAGATGATCACACACATTCGATAAAACCAAAATGTATAAAAAAGTGTAGTACTTTTTCATTTAATCGTAAATTAGAGACTTCAATTACAAAACTTACCATTCGAAGCTCAGCAAATCGTTTAACTTAATTTATATTTAATTTGATAAAAATTTTCCGATTCTAATTCTTATCAAGGCCCGTCAATCGAACAACACTAGAACTAGAATAGACAAACTTACATCTAAAGTTTATAGACTTTTCAAAAACAGACTCTCGAATCCACATAAATCACTACTCCATGAAGATCACCCTCAAAATAAGTCTCTGTTTCTAAAACCTCACTCACAAACTCACAAATGAGACTCAAATTTCCATGAAAAGACAATTTGGAAACAACCGGCAAAATACTTCAAACGGGTCGGTTTTAACAACGAGCGGACCAAGTTATCACCAAGATGAGGACACAAAAAGTTCACGCAAGGCTGATTGGGTTTTCTCTTCTCACCTGGGCTGTCCGGTACTCGCGGTATCGGGCTTTTTCTTTCTTCTCTTTGCGCTTGTTTTTGCCCTACGAGAGACGATAAGTTTTCCATGTTTAGTATGTTTTTTTTTAAACAGGATTCTTTTAAATTTGTTCTCAAAATTTTCAACTCGATTTCTCACTACAACAGAGATTAGTATGTCATTGAATTTTAGCGTTTGCATTTTAATACAAAAATAAAATTTTATGCTCGAGTTTTTGTCGTTGAAATTTGGTGTTGCAATTTACTAGAAAAGAAATATTTGTTGAGAGTTATCTCTAAATTCTAAGAATGTGGAAAGGCAAAAAAATGCAGTTCACACCAAACACTAAAAATTTCATTAAGTAAAGTTTTGTAAATTTTTATACGTATAAAATCCGGGTAATAGATTACTTGCGAGGTACAAAACTGGTTTCTATGATTAGTTCCGCTTCTCACTATTATTGTGTTTTGATAAAGCAAATATTATTTCCAGTCCGGGATTCGAACCTGAACCTTTTGAAGGCAAACCACGCAATTTTCGAGATACGAAACAAGTAAACTATTCAGGGGCGGATCAAGGATTTTCTCGAGGGGGCGGGGGCGGATTTTCAAAAAATTTTCGAAAATTTTGACGACCTTTTTTTTTAGGTCGACCAAATTGATTTTTCGAGCTCTCCCAAAGCACGGTTTTGTCCCTATTTTGGCCAAATTTTTTGCGCCGCAGGCAAAATTTTGAAAAAACAGGTCAAAAAAGGCGTTTTTAGGCACTTTTTGGAAAATTTTGACCAAAAAATTGCGTTTTTTCGGCGCGCGCTCCCCCCTTAAAATTAGTATATATTGGCGCCGAAGGCGCCTTTAGAAAATTTTAAGGGTCGGTCGGCCAAAAATGGATTTCTTAAAAAGTATCAAAGGGGGGACCCTTTGGGTCGGCAGGGGGTCGAATCCCTGAGGGGGGGGGGGGGGGGAGGGCGTCCGCCCCCCCCCCCCTAAATCCGCCCCTGAAACTATTACTTTTTTGAAGCAAAATTTGAAGTATTTTGCCGGACTTAACCTTGTTTCTTCTTCTACGCAGAAGAGGTCGCGGCTTGTTTTTCTGGGCAGCTGCAAACAAAAACCACTGCATCAACTTCAAAAATATTGACCTCGTGAGACAATAAATAACGAATTAGCAAAAATATATCGACAACATTTGATGGAATAATTTTGAAAATAGAATAGAAAATGTGTCTAAGAGGGAAATAGACGTGTGTAATCAAGACAAGAGAGTAGCAAAACAGTTTAGTTTCAGCTAAAAAAATATTAGTCTAATGCAATTAAGTATTTTAATTATCAAAATATTGAGAATATTATTTTTTAAACATTTTTGAACATTTTTTTTTGTTCCACGGTTCTTCAAGATCAGAAGTCGTTCGACTTCTCAAAAAACTTCCAAAATTTTATTTTTTTGAGGTTTTGCTACTTTCGTTGTGAAAATAAGAAAGGAGAAAATTTACGACTTGAATTTCTGGCTCGATGTGATAGAAATATAGTATATTGAGAACGAAAGAAACACACGATAGACAAACTTGAGCTTACTTGTAGGAAACCAAGACGATCGAACACGCTTTTTCTGAAATAAAAATTACTGGTAATCAATTTTCACAAATCCTATTAAACTAAAATCTAGCCGCGCCAGTTGTTCGTACCGCCCATTTCTGTGCACCAGGGTGGATCTAAGTTTTTCTCGAAGTGAGGTGGGGGGAGGGCATATTTATAAAAAAAATCGAAAATTTTGTCGACGACCTTTTTTTTAGATCGACCGAATTGATAATTGATTTTCTGAAGTCTCCCAAATAAGTATCAAGAACCTATTTCGACCAAATTTTCTTCACCGAAAGAAAATTTTTGAAAAAAAAACAAGCCAAAAAAGAGGATATTAGGCCATTCTTGGAAAATGTTGACCAAAAAAATTTGGCGTGCGCTCTCCCCTCAAAATTAGTATATATTGGCACCGAAGCCGCCTTTAGAAAATTCCTAAGGTCAGTCAGCCGAAAACAGACATTCCAAAAATGTACAGAGTACAGAGAGAAACCCTTTGGGTCGGCAGGGTGTTGAATCCCTAATAGGGGAAGGCGCCACCGCAATATCCGCAACTGCTGTGCTCAGCACTGAGTATTCTTCTTGAGCGCTTTCTTTTAAAAAAAAATCCAATTCAGCCAAGTGCAGTATCATAATGAAGCCTCTTCAGCCGTCATTTGCACTACAATTTTTTAAGGCTGTCTCAGTGTCCAAAAATGTGTCTGGATTTTTCCTAATATCACACCCAATTTGATAATCATGAATTCATTTTTACTGCAGCATTAATTCAGCTATAATTGACTCTCATTTTGTAATTTTTAATTTAACTGATTTGCTTTTTGCTTTAGAAAAGCCAGCTAAAATCTATTTTGATTTTCTTTACTGAAATCATGGTGGTCGTAACCTTCTATGCATCCATCCGGCTATCCTGTTTTTCCTGGTTCATTTGTCATCAACATTTTGACAAAACAAATTTCGAGCGTTGAAAATTCAAATAAATCAATATTTCAGTGAATTAAAATTTATTTTACTGCAGCATTGCTTAAGCTATAATTAATTCTAAAGTTGTAACTTCTCTTTTATTTAGTTGCTATTTACTTTAGAAAAGCCAGCTCGAATTTATTTTGAATTTCCTTTCTGAAATGATTGTGGTCGTAACCTTGTTTGCATCCGGCTATCTTTGTTTTTCCTGGTTCATTTTGTCATCAACATTTTGTCAAAAAAAGATATTGAGCGTTGAAAATTCCAACAAATTTTTTTAATTGGGTCTTTTGGAACAAGATCCTTTCTTTTTTGTTTTTAAAAAACATTATACGCAATAAAGCCAATTAACTCCTCTTTTGAAATTATGAAGACGTTCTGTCGAAAAATAATTAGTAAAAACAAACGTTCGAAATGAATTAAAATTACCTTCATTTTTTATTCACGATAATTCAACAAGTTTGGAAAATACCCAAAACCTGTCAAGTTAAAAATAGAAAATACATAATCTTTTTTTATTTACATGTGATCGGCTTTTTGGTAAGTTGATTCAAAAATTTGTACATACAAAAACTTAATTTCGCTCATATCAACAAAAAAATTACAAAAAAAATTGAAACAGAAATGTTTTGTTTTTTGAACAAGGAAGAAAAATGAAACTTGCCGTAAGTTTTTCGAATATAAAAATTTATGTCAACAATGTTCGTTGGAACAAGGGTTGTCAATCGGTTTTACTTTTTACTCCCTAGCATAAAAACCACTCCTTGTCATAAGAAGCAACAACAAGAGTGCTAAAACAACTGCTTTTATTCTTCGGCAAAAAAAAATTTCCAACCTGTGCTCTTTTTAAAATAAATTTATGGGACTTAAAGATAGCCAATTTGGCCAATTTGGGACAATTAACGCGTGATATGTTTCGCACTGTTAACGCGTAAGCGGCGATTTAATCCGTCACAGGAAACATTCCAAATTGGTTGAAGCAGGGCTATTTATCATAGGAGCAAAATTTTTCACTTTAGATTTTTTATGGCATGTGAGGAAATCTGTTAAACTTCAAAAAAATTTGCATTTTATTTATTTTAAAAATTGCTCTATAGGCCTAAAAAGGCAATTGTAACAGTCAGGGCTTCGTCCTAATACGAGCAGTTTTCTTCGTTTCAATCAGCCAAGACGATATATTGTTTGTCAAACAAAATATTTTTCAAATTTTAAAAGATGATCTTTTTATATCTACCGCTTAAAAATTGAAGCACATATTCATATTTGTATTTCCATAACAAAGTTTGCAAAAAAAAGTTATGTTTTTAATAAATTAGGCGTTTTTGTGCTTTTTAGTGAAAATGCAGGGAGACTGGACAAAAATACTTTATAATAGATAGATAAAAAACAAACATCGATTTAAAGGTATGTCCAAATACACGATTTGCTCTCGCTACGCGTCTGAAACCAGTAGATTGTTTGAAATAATTTCAAAAAAAATGTGTAGATTAAATAAATTAATTAGAACAACTTTTGATAAAAGTTCGAACCCATTGGTCTGAGGAAGTTTTTTCGTTTTTCTTGCTTCCATTCGTTTTCACCGCGTATTGTGAGTTCGATAATCTGTTGATAGGAAAGTTTGAACCTAGTTAAACATACTCAAGGGCACCGAAAAATTGTTGACTTTTCAAAAAAGGTTTCATCTCTCGAGTTTTAAAAAGTCAGTATTGCTTTTTATATCTCTGAGTTAAATGAATCTTTCATGATTGGCACTTCCAAAAAGACTAAACCAAAATCGAGAAATTGGAATAATAGAAAATTTAATCCGCTGGAAAATCTGTTTACAATATTCAATGACACCTACGAGTCTTTACTTTTTATACCCTCCCTAATTGATGGAAAAGGAAAATAGAAATTTTATACAAAACTTGATTATACTACTAAGACAAGCAGGATATTGATACGAAACAGGCCAAAACGAAGCCATCTTGTTGAATTTTGCCATTTCAATTCACGTAAATTTCACAAAAACGAGACTAAATGCGTTTTCAATTGTCAGTTAATTTGGATTTGTGCAACTTTCCTAGATGATTTATATTTCTGCATATCAGGTTTTTTTTTAGTAAAATTGATCCAAATTTTGAAAATTAAATTTTTGTTTTCATTTTTAATCATAAAGGGGGATGGGCATAACCGTTGAGACCCACACTAAGGGGGCATTAATTAACTTTGAGAAAAATTAGTTTTTTTAGAATATCAGCAGGACTTTCAATGTGCAACTGTGAGTTTAAAGAAGCAAGAAACATTTAACGTGTGGCTGATAACTACAGCTCAGGGGGGAGGGGGTATTCTTTGCCGGAAGGACCATATGGCCGAAAATTGTGTACGCCAATCAGAATTCAGTATTGAAAAACTCGGAATAACTAATTTTGAACAGCAGTCAGTATTGGTCAGTTCAACTGATATTGACTTGGTTGAAATTTTTTATGCATTCAGTCCTTCTGATATGAGAATAGCCCCCGCTTAGAGGTTACAGAACAGTAGGGTGGTTGTTTCCAATTAACATTGTTTTTACCGTGTCAGTCCCATATGGCTGCTAACTTGCTGCCATCGAAACAGTGGCAATATGGAAACCTGTGGATTCCTTGTATTCAATATATGCCACTTACTTGCTCCTACTTAAACAAAACTGAAGTTAATCTCAGGCAACTAAGCCTTGCACTTTTTGTACGATTAAAACAGTCAGAATTAGGAAGAAAATGCAGTGCAAAAGTCGCATATCTGTAAATCGCAAGAAAAAAAAACATTCAAATTTTGTCAATATAATTTTAAAAATAAATCAAGACTTGAGATTTCAGTTTTTGAGCCGTTTTAATAGTTTTTTCTACTTCAAACGCGTCGGAAATTGACCAGCTGTTTCTAATGCGAATTTCGTCTGTGTCCAATTAAAGTCGCAATTCTATCGAACAACAAATCTAACAGTTATGGTCACTTCTAACTAAGAAAAAATCATTCAGTTTTAAAGAACTAATGCTACCGCATGGACAGAAGATTCGAGTATTTTCTGTTAGTCCCTTAAACCCTTTTCTTTTACAACAGTTTAGCTTAAATGCTATTTTCATTCAGTTTTTTTTTCAGTTTGGTCGGATCGTCTTTTCATTGAAAGCTAAAAGGGGGTGGGGGGGGGGGGGGGGTTTGGCTAACAGAAACAGAAAGTACCCGAAGATACTGAAGCCTCGTTCCTAGCATTTCGATCCGAAGTTACAACAGATTATGTCAGAGGTCAGGCATGTGAACACGAACAACATTTCAGTGATGGTTAGTTAGTACTTGCAAACAACAAACATCAAAGAACAAGCAGAAAACATCAACGGGTGGGAACACAAAACTTAGAAGAAAAAACAACAACCAGTCAGTAGGATATGATTTTATGGAAAAATTCAAATTGTCTTGAGTTAGTATGAATTTCAAGGAAACCAATTAGTCGAAGAAGTCGAAAAACAACTGATTCATGGGCTTGGGCTGATAATTATTTCAACTCATAAATCTTTGATTCCAGCAAGCGAACTTGAAGTTAATAATTAAATATAACTCGTAAAAATTATAAATAACTTAGTTATTGTGCACCTGGTTAAGAAAGGTTAGAGTGTTACTCAGAAAGCTGAGCATTTTAAGTGTTAAATTAAATAAATGCTTTAAGTGAAGTTCAAATTTGATTTTGGAAAGTAAACGTGAAACATACGTCGTCCATTTCGTTGTTGGCTTCGTCGTCGTCGCCCGAATCGTCGTCATCGTCGTCGCCATCGTCGTCATCGTCGTCGTCGCTGCCACTGCCGCTTTCATCAGAATCACCGTTACCGCCTCCCTTCTTCCTCTCTATCCTCCGCCGGGCGGCTAGAGTGAGAGCGGCGGCCGTTCCCGCGCGGCTATAGCCGCTGGCGCTGCGCTGCAACAGCACACGCAGTCAAGTCAAGTCAAGTGACTCTCATCAGAAGTCAAGGTCAAGTGAGTTTCAAGGTCACTTTCACTTCACACTCAAGAAGTTCACTTCAGTTCGTTTATTTCACCTGTGGAGGGTGTGGCTACTCCAAGCGCAAAGGGGCGTGGCGGCCAAGTGCCCAATCGGAGAAAAAAGCAATTCACAATCGGGGTTTGTCTGCTCATCTATCTACTAAATAGCTAAGCAGACTCTTTCACCCAACGAACGCTGTTTAACGCTTAACAGTCGGTTAAGAGTTACCACCCATATATGAAAAAGGAGAACACCATTATTACATAAGTACCATGAGAGGTCCAAGTAGTCAAACTTATATACCAAAGACCAACTGAAATCAAAAAGACTTAAAACTAAAAACTTGAACGCAAATTACAGCAAAATTGTATATTTTAAAAAATATATTAGCGACTAAAAACTTGAACACATACCATTAAAAATCATACGAAGAAAAAAGAAAACAAAAATTTTTGTTTATAAAAACTGTTAGCAAAAAAACTCGCTAGTTTTTTTGTGGATGTTAGTATTGACTACTTGGAACCAAAATGATAATTACTTAACCACAGCATTAGGTAGGTTACATTCAAAACAGTATAGAAATAGCACTAAATGATGACATTTAAAAAGGATGGGTTCGAAATAGCACAACTGAGGAGCAGAGTATTAAAAGCAGAGCAAGTCAAGATAGACTTCAGAAACAACAAGAAGACAACAAAAGGTTCTTCAAGCTGCGGCTCTTTTCAAGTTGTCCTTAAGTCTTCTTTGATCAACTGAAAATGTATAAGTTTGCATCGATCTAGCGGCGGATGTATGATTTTTTTCTTTCAGAAGGGCGCGGTCGGGTGATTTTCATTTGAAAAAACGTCGACTTTTTGTTCAAAGTTTACCGAATTGGTTTTTCGAGCTCAACCGAAACAAAAAAAATTAATATTAGGATTGGCCAAATAGTTTTAAAATATTACTATTAAAGGGGCTCGTTTTTTTTTGCTGAGGGGGTCATCTTCATGAGGAGGAAGTTCGTCGCATTCACCCGCTTAACCCCCTTTCCTAATTCTCCAACCCCCCCCCCCTGCATCCAAGGCTGTGAGGGTTGATTTATTTTAGTTCAAGTTCTTTGGTCTCTTTTTACCAAGTTTTGGCTTTATGAAAAAAACGGAACCTGAAAAACTAGTGAACTTGAAAAGAGCCTTCAGGTTACGTCAAAAGGAACAGTACAGAAAAGGTGCTTGTGTGTGCGTGAGTTTCAGCGCGTGGAAAAAAATTGCATTGTGTGAAATTATTTTATTTCATTTCATTTCATTTTAGCTATTAGCTCAGCGGAGGGGGACTTTGCTGCTACCCAAATCGGGCGCCGACGGGCCTTTAATATCCTGCCTTACCTCACCCATGTCCAGTTTATAATAGAGCGAAGGAAGACTCGGTATCTGTTATCACAATAAATAAAACTCATTAGTAATTGATTAATCGATTCAATAAACTGCTAGTAAAATTATTGTGAAAGGATACAATAGTTGGATATTTGGGATAGATATCTGCAAAAAGATTATGCTTAGCAGCTTTTTATATAAACTCTGAACTTGGCTGAAGACTTTTTACTGGTAACCAGAGAATAAAAAATTGGTCTTTTCTGAATTAGTGTCGGAAAATCTTAACAAATACACCAACTATGCATCATAATACTTTTAAATTTAAGCTCAGTAAATAGTTGTGTAGAATAGCAGTGAAATTATCTACAAAATTATTGCATTTTGAGAGATGAAGAAGCAGTGATCAACTCAACAATAGGCATTTAAAATAAAGCACTGAGAATGGAAGATAATTTAATGAAAAAATATTAACTAGGGTTGTCATTATCATCAACCCAGGTTTTAAAAACCCAGAGAGCCCATTTTCAGCTTTGTAAAATTATTTCTACGATTTAATCTAAAAAAGGGTTTCCGAAGGGCAGGTTTTTCTACGATATGGGACTTGGGGAGTTTTTGTTAAGGGTCTAAAAACTAGTCGTTCCTAAAAATGATCAGAAAGATAAGTTAAATTACTATGAATCCATCTATGTAATTAAATCAGGCCAGTAAAAAGTATAGTAGTTCTACTATTTCTAAAAAGTCTAGAAAGGATATTCGTTGCTTTTGGAACTATAATTAACAGACGCTACGGAAACCTTATTTGAATTGGATTCGAGGTTCAAATCGAATCTAAGCTGCAGTTCCGCGGGGAGCTGGGACGAAGCCGACCCGATGGCTTGATGATGACACTAGAAAGAAAGATCAAATACTATTTACACCGTGAAAAGGTTAAAAAGGGCTCCAAAAGAGCCCAAATTGGTTAGTAAGTGCGTTTATAAATGGTGAGTTCTCTTCATGACGTTTGAGCGGCAGTGAAGCAATTCAAAAAGCAGTTTAAATTGAGAACTGCACTGTTTGAACTAAAAAAAATTTAAACGGATATAATTTTCAGTCAATTTTTTGTATACCTTTTTTCGCTGACCGGTATTTTCTTAAACTAATGGCTCATTTAAACCACTTTTCGAAATTGCAATAAAACCATAATATTTTTCAACAGTACCTGCTACTGAAAATCAACCTTGATTTAATTTTTTTAAACAGTCAAACCACTTTTGATTATTGATTCTTTGAGTATTTTGTATTTTTGATTCTGAAAGTCATTTGAAGCTAGTTTGATTTTTTTTCCAGCTGCAGATAAATCAAAAATAGGGTTATGGTTATGAGTAAAATGTTCCCCTTTCAATTTTAAAAACTAAACCACACGCAAAATTTCAGGTTTTCATTGGATTTCAGCCAATTATTTGCTTAGCCAGCTAGTCGAAAAGGAAACATTTTGACATTTTGAAGGGAGGGTAGATGAATTTTTCACTCGGAAAAGATTACAAATCACCATCTGAGCAATGATGACTAACCTCACTTACTTGATATGAACTCACCCATTTATGAGCACATACAGATGTTTTATAAACTCATGAGTTTTAAATCGAATGAGACAAATTGATGAGCACGCTTATATTGAGAACATGAATGAAATATTTAAGAGATAGCAAAAAGTTGGAACCGAGATAATTAATTAAAACGAGCATTTAGAACAAACTTCGAATGAAATTTGCCTACAATTAGGGCCAAATTTTTAGCAATGCCAGCGACCTTGAGCAAATTTATCTGTCAAAAAATTCTTTGGTATTTTGGTTTTCAAAAAACTTCTTCGTTTTTTGGGGGCTGAAATTAATTTAGGAAACGAATTAAATTTCCGAAGTCAAAATTGCATTTTAGGTTTACTAACATCGATCAAATTCGTTGACCGGAAAAAAATTGCCAATAACTTGGCTTCAACTGTAACAACTTAAGATTTTGCGTACAAAACTTTTGTTGAAATATAACATTCGCTCTTTTTAATTATATTTGTCTGTTTCGCCTTTTTGCAGCTCTCCAAAGTACTTCAGGATGATTCATCGATGAATCATGAGCGGAAAGGTAAGTCTATACTAAAATATAATGTCCTCTCCACCGCCCATCACTTCAACGAGAACGTGATCACTTACAGAGTCCTCCTCTTTGTCTTTGGCTGCCCCGTCCCGCTTGGACTTCTTAGTCTGCTCGGGGGTGTTGGGGGGAGAGAAGAACTGATGGTAGAGGACGGAGACCAGTTCACACGCCACCACAGTCGAGGTGTTACTGCCTATGAGTCGCAGGATGAGGTTGACGTCACAACCGAGGTACTTGGAGAACTGGTACAGGCGCTGTTCCTGACGCCACTTCTGATTGATTGCCACGTCTAAACACCACAAAAAACTCAGGCTCTTCTTAAGGCAATTGGGACCAAAAAAAAATATTCGGGTCTTATGGCAAACAAAACAACAAACGTTCTTAAGTCTTAAGGCAAACACGACAACAAAAGTTTTCGGGTCTTAAGGCAAACACGACAACAAACGTTTTCGGGTCTTATGGCAAACAAAAACAACAAAAGTTTTCGGGTCTTATGGCAAACAGGAGAGCAAACGTTTTCGGGTCTTATCCAGGCGCGGATCTAAGATTTTCTCGAGCGAGAGGGGCGGATTTTCAAAGAATTTTTAGGTTGACCAGATTGATTCGTTGAGCTCTCCAAATCCTTATAAAGACCATTCCGACCAAATTTTGTGCGCCGCAGGCCAAAAAAGTTGTTTCTAGGCAGTTTTTAGAAAATTCTGACCAAAAAATGCCTTTTTTGGCGCGCGTTCCCCCTTCAAAATTAGTATATATTGGCGCCAAAATTTTAAAGTGAGCCAGCCAAAAATGGATTGTCGTCTCAAAATAGTAAAAAGAGCGTCCACATAGCTACTCGTCTTAACAAAATCTGTTTCAAATGAATTTTTTTCACCGCAATTGTTTTCAACCAATTTGATAATTATGTTCCATTTTTCAAAAAAAAAAGCAAAAAAAAAACATTTTTTATATAAGCAAAATTTTGGTTTTCTAGCAGAAAAAAACCAACATTTTCCGAAATAATTCTGTTGGGCTAACTTGGCCATATGCATTGCAAAATGCCCGGGTTGACCAAAACTTTTCATACAATTTCCATATATGAGAAACTTTTTGTCATACAATTTCATACAAATCCATACGTACAGAAAGATGAATAAAATCTCTATGATAAGTGTTTTTCCATATATGAAAATTATATGACAGGTGTTTTTACATAAAGTAAAAAAATTGATTATTTGTTTCTAAATTCAATTTTCATAAAAGTTTTGGATTGTGCTTGTAACCGTACACAAGTGACAAAGGTTTACTCAAAGCACCAATGATTGGACGGTTTTGCATTTACAATGCATAGAAAACGACCTGAATTATTTTAGAGCTTTCACGTCTTTCACAAATCTTATAACGAAAGTAACAAACTTTTATATTTTGGCAAAACATTTCAACGATGATTATTTTAAAAATTTGCAATTTACAAATTATCAGACATTGAACAAGGCATATATAAACTCGCCATACAAAAGAAATAGGAATCAAAAAACGCTAATCATACAATTTCCAGTCATGGGAATTGTATGATAAGCAAGTTTTTTTTCAAAAAAACAAAAACCCCGGTTTCTTATCACCAGACTGCTTTTATTAGAATCAAACAACCATGTAAATTAGTGTATATCTTTTTTCAACTTTTTTTTCGAAATTGTATGACAAGCATGTTTCCACACATTTGATGCATGGAATTATATGATAAGCATTTTCGGCGTATAGAAGCCAACCAGGGCGCCAAGAAAAAATTTAAAAAAACCATCAAAATGCGGTGAAAACCAAAACAATGAATTTGACTCTTCTGCCGCTTACCCAGCTTGTAATTTTTACCTCCTTATTTATGCTTATGATGTAATATTATCTAGAAAAATAGCATGTGGATTGTTTGTTTTAGCTATGGCGAGATTTTGTTTTACATTAAGCGTCGCAGAATCAAATGGATACACGTAAAATTATATACATTGTCGCAAAATCGAATGGCTACGAATGGTTACATTTTTTTAATCTACGAATGGTTACATTTTTTGGCGGAACAAATACATTTACAGGCGCGGATCTATGAATTTCTCGTGGGGGGTGGGCTAGTTTTCAAAAAAGTTTTAAAAAATTAAATCGACCTTGTTTTGTTTTTGGGTCGACCAAATTGATTTTCTGAGCTCTCCCAAATCACTATGAAGACCCTAAATTGACCAAATTTTCTGCGCTGCAGGCAAAATTTTGAAAAAAGACCAAACACGGCGTTTTTAGGCACTTTTTAGAGAATTTCGACCAAAAAATCGCGTTTTTTTTGGCGCGCGCTCTCCCCTCAAAATTAGAAAAACAAAGGCGCCTTCAGAAACATTTTAGGGTCCGTCAGCTAAAAATGGATATCTCAATACAGTACAAAAGGAGACCCTTTGGGGGGTCGAGTCCCTGATGGGAGGAGCGTCCCCCCTAAATCCGCTACTGTATATATATATATATATATATATATATATATATATATATATATATATATATATATATATATATATACTCAACACTAAAGGAAAAGAAGAACTCAAATTTTTCAGAAAACAATGAAACGATATTAACAAAAATTTATCTCAACAAAAATGCATTGCAGTACATGTAGCAGCGACAGTAAATTGGTGCGCCTAAGACTCAAATTGCTGCATTGGTACAACTATTCGAGGTTTACAAAAATAATTCAAAAGTTGCAGCAGGCAATTGTTTGAATTGTTTACTAGTAACTGTTTTTGCTAGTATGCCTGACAACAATGTTGAACAGAATACGAGAAAGTTTCTCCTTTTCAAGTGAATGATTCACTCCGGTTGCCATAATTTGAATTTGATGTAATAAAAATGTCTTGGAAAATTTCATTTTTGAATAGCAAAAGATCACATGTTATTTTGATTTTTAGATTTTTTTTAGGTTTTCGGGCAAAAATAAAACAAACCAGAGGCAGAAATTGATAATTTTGACGAACTTTTTTGGTCGAGCAAGTTGATTTTCGCAAACTCTCCCCATTTCTCAAAAAAACTTGTTGTGACCAATTTTTCTGCACCGCAGGTGTAATTCTGAAACGAAACAGGCCAAAAAAGGCTTTTTAGGCATTTTTTGGAAAGTTTTGACCAAAGCATTGTGTTTTTTTTTCTGACACACGCTATCCCCTCAAAATAAGTGCAAACTGCCTTCAGAAAAAAAGGGTCTTAGAACAGTATCAAAGTGGGGACCGTTTGTGTCGTCAGAGGACCAATTCACTGAGGAAAGGGCCTTTTTAAATCCGCTACTGATACAAACATACAGTTTTTGCAACTTCAATTGCATCTTTAAACCAAAACAAGAAAAAATAATAATTTAAATGTAAGGATGTATAGATTTTTAGATATATATACTTTCAAGATATATGTGTGGGTTTGTCGGATGGTTTAGAGAGTTGCTCGAACCTTAAAACCATCTGTTCTCGAGCGTTTGTTTTAGGCACTATCCCAAAAACTTGTCAATTTTATCCATGACGCAGAAAGCATTACACGAGCGATTATTTTGCCCACAAATTAGTTCTGAATTGAAATCGGGCTAAGTGGGCGCATTAATTTGAATTTGCAATTCAATTTTTTCTAACTTTTGATATTGGCAGCGCAAATTTAATAGTTTATCAAAAATTTAGCAATAAAAAGCGTTTGGAGGTCGATTAAGATTTTTGAGTTACGAGCAGTCTGGATTGTAATGTAAGGTATAAATTAAATCAATTCTATATGACTTCAAAAATTATTTTCGAAAGTCAGAAAAAATCAAACGGTTAAATTCAGTTCAGCAAAAAGCATTATATAATTCACTAAACAAAATAAGACTGCTCGTATCAATCAGGGCGAAGCCTTTTAAGGTCTTTTGAGCAGTAATAAATTGAAAAAATTAAATGTATTAAATTAAATTGAATGTTTTTTTTTCAAATTTGAAAATTTTTGTGAGAATCATCTCTCCTCACGCCATATAAAGTACAAAGTAATAGATTTTGCAACTAGTAACAAATCGATTACGGAAAATAAGCTTCCTTCAACCAATTTGGAACGATTTCTTAGACGGATTAAATCTCCGTTTACGCGTTAATAGCGCGAAATATATTGCTCATTAATTGTCCCAAATTGGCCAAAATGAAAGTCTTTAAACCCCCGTAACTTTACAAAAAGTGAGCACAGGTCAAATATGTTTTCAAGTTTAAGCTCAGGACAACAATACTTTTTCAATGATATAGAAAAAATTCAGTGTAGTTAAAAAGTCGTCGAATCTGAAGAAAAAAACCACCGGAGCACAAATATTCCGTTACTTTTGTTACGAAAGTCGGAACAAAAGTTGAGTTGCTGAAATACAGCTTGATTAACTTTGTATTAACTGAAAGAGAAGTACGCGCCGCAATTGTGCGCACCACTTATTGTTTCGACCGGATTATTATAAATGAAACCAAACCTATTGTAGAATTTTGATTGCTATAAATTTCGAGACATTTCGAAAGATATTCAATACTTTTTGCTGTATAGATTTTTAAGCTAAAACTTTTGAAGCAATTGCAGTTAAATTTAAAGCTTCAAAGAATTTTTTTAATGTTTGAAAAATTTTGGCAATTATTTGACATTTCAACATTTTAAGGATAATATATATATTTTTTTTCAAATTATTGATTACTACAATACTGTTTTTTAGTCTTCATTGCTGTATTAATTCATGCTACAAAATAATTTCATTAATGAAATTCTTTTAGTCGGTCGGAACAAATTCAGGAAGAGGAAAAAGTTTATAGAATAGTGAGCGGATAATTACAGGGTGCAGTTAGCTGAAAACCTTAGGATAAAATTTACTTTTCCTATCAATGGAAACTGACGTATTATCATCATGTTTTTTAGAATCTTTTTAGTAAAACTACGAGATAGAAACAATCGGAGAAGCGACATTTGTGTAATGCAAGACACCAAATAAGGAAATAGTTATTTATGTATTCCGTACCGTCTACTTCATCATAGATTCTCCCTTCTTCGCCTGAAGATGACAAGTAATATTGTGATAGAATGCTGCTTCATTTCACAAACAATTTGCCGTATAAATATCTTTCAAAAGTAATGTCTAATACTTTGCAAATTTTTGTTTCGATTTTTAAAACTCGATTGAAGTGAAACGGTCAGACATAGCTATAAAAAATTGAGGAGTTTGATGCCGTTGTGTATTTTTTTTCGATTGTTACCAAAATATTGTTTAAAAAATTTCAAAGAATGTTCATCATAAAGTAATTATTATGAGTATTTGAAATCTGAAATATAGTTTTAGTTAAAAGTACATCACAATGTAAAATCAGTATATGACCATTGTTTGATTAGTGTTTAAAATATTAGCAAAAAATAGGTGCGAATTGAAGTAAAAGAATTGACAACAAAGCTCTTGCCTTCTCTAACGTCATTGGCGATGATGAGCAGTTCCCTCAGGTAGTTCTGTCTGGTGTTGGCGTATCTTCTGGTGAAGAACTTGGCGAACAGCCGGAAGATCCAGATGAGCCAGTTGATGAAAGTGACCAGGAACGTGAACATGAGCCAGAACCACACGATGCCGAAGATGGCTCGGTTGAACAGGTTCGCCGCCAGCACACAGTGGATTGTGTATCTGAAAAAAAAATAATTTCATTTTCAAGCCAAAAACTTATAACCAAACATTGTAGAAATTGTACGTTTACTATTTAGTTTACTATTTAGTTTACTATTTATTTGGAAGAAAATGAAAAAAAAACTGTCGTAACCTGTCGGCATATGGTGTGTTTTGAAATTCAGAATCATTTGGCTGAACTATTTAAATAAATTTTGAACAATTATTCCTATGATCAATTTTGCTTCTCAACATTTCAAAAATCTTGCTCAGTAATAGCCATGAAAATTGCTAGGATCGTGCAAAAAAGTCCGATTTTTTTATAGATAAAAACGATCAGCAATCTCAACCCGAGATGACTCTTAGGGCAAGTAGGATCTTGTAGTACGGGATCTTTTGTCCAGAATATCATCAACATAACAAATTAAATAATCACAAAAATATGCAAAAATTGTGCGCATTACTTATTTTGTTGAATTTGATCAGCAGAAAAAATGTAATTCCAAAGATTTTTTTCATTAAAAATTTAAAAAATAAGGAGCATTAAGCCTGGTTTTTGAGATAATTCAGACCTTCTACAAGTTACACCAAGCTTGTTACAAAGTTAATTTTACCTCTGGATGTTTCCAGGCACAAGTCTGAAAAAGTCGCACCAGGCCACGACCGGGAATCGAACCGGCTTTATCTCGGCCAAGTCCCAGTTGAGCGCCCTCTGAATGATATCGATTCCATACCACACGTATCCCTCTCCGAAAAGTGTGGATAGAAAAGTGATCTGCAGCACTGGCAGTATCATGCATGTTATTTTGACAGCCATGTAAGCCAGACTGATTTTGTAGGAGTTGCGGTTCCGTTGGATGTAGATCTTGAAGTGCTTCGAGAGAGTGTCGTTCACGAATTTGTGTCTGGTGGCTGGGTCGATGTTGATACGACTAGAATAGAAAAAAGTTTTTTTAACGCTCAATAGAAGGTATTTTGAGGACCAACGTGGTACATGCTCAACTGTAAGGGATGGATAAAAACTCTAAATATCAAAGAGGAAAACTAACTTTTACAATTTTTTTTAACTCCATCAAACAAAAAAACTCCCGTTAAAGAGAATCTACTAGTCTGCTGGTTTTTTTTCTGTGGTTTCAGAAAAAAATTATTGAGTCCTAACGTGGTGATGTTTAGGAGCTCGAGGAAAGTTACAAAGTACCCTGCAAGTCTAGCCTAACCTGCAATAAATTGTCGTTTTAGATAATTTCTATAAAAATTTGCATGAAACAAATTGAAAGCTCGTTGCAGCAATCAGTAGTGCGCCGAATGGGGGAGGGGGAGGGCAAGTTTCTTTAGATCGCTACTCGCAAATCTAGATTTTCTGCATGTTTTGTTGCATGTTACATTTCAAAACGCATACTGAAGAATGGAAAAAATAAGTGAAAATTTAGACATTTCAGCTTTTCTGGTGAGACGTAAAAGTGCAAATCATCCAATGTCAGTCAATTACAGTGTTAAAAATAAACCTTAGCAGTTGGATGGCAAACCTGTTTTCTCTGTATTGATAAGTTTCAGTTAGTAGTGAGGTTTTTCAGCAAAGAAAAATTACTAATCAATTTTTTATTTCGAACAAGGATAGCCGGTTGCTGTGCTAGTAGCCAGAAATTTATTCAGTAACTTTTATTTTGATCAAAGATAGTCGATTGCTGTGCAAGTAGCACAGAAAAAATTTTCTGGAAATAGCACCAAAAAATTCTCTCAAATTTTTTTTTTAATCTTTTTTTTCAAACTGTGTCGTTTTTGGTTCGTGTTATGATGAGACCATCTAAATGAAAACCTAGAACTTCGAAAAAAAATAGTCCATAGAGTACAGTTGACAACAGGTTCCTCATAAAATAAATTTGCATCCGGAAAATATATTTTTTTTAAAATCTGTTCTCAAGAATGCGCTAAACTTGTTTAACAATAACTTATGCTGGAGTGAAACTAATTTTTTTTTGGTTTAATTTGAAGTATATTATTACTTTCATAAGTCTTATAAGGTTCACTCACTCGAATTTGGACTGAAAAACAAAAAACTCAAACCCGTTTCTCTCGACAATGCGACGAAAGAAGTTTTTAATGGCTTTCAAATCTCTCATATGATATATCACTAAATCCATTCCGATGATTAATTGTGGCAATAATTTTGCATGAAAAAAAAACAAAAAGAGAAAACTAAAACGCAACGGAAGACAAGGCTGTTTCCGATTTTCAGTGGTCGGAAAAAAGTTAAATAAAGAACAAGATCATTATTATTGTAAAGTTAGCATCAAACAATTAAAAACAAGAACCTGAGTTTTGCTACTTGATTTGCAGTGGTTAACAAATAAAAAAAAACTAAGAATAATTTCATTTTACTATAGTACCAGTGTATTAAAAATAACCATCTAAACTTCACAATCATTATTGTGACAAAAGAAGCTGATAACACCAAACAGCGTTTGAGATCTGTTTTTTTTTACTTAGAAAAAAAAAAGAATAAAAAGGACTAATTATTGAAAACAAAAAACAATAATTATTGAAAACAAAAAAATGAATTATAACAACAAGATAATACTCAAAAAACCAATAATTTAGAAATTTAGCTGAATTCTGTTTAGCGATTATAACAAGTCAAATGAGAATTAAGTAAATGTTTTAAAACTGTAGAAAAAAAAGTTGATTTTGTAGATTTTTTGTGATTTTTTGCAAGAAAACTCGGAATGAAATGAAAGTTCGGATTTCAAATTTGACAATATTTTGATCAATAGCTAAAAAAACTCTCGCTATTGCAAAACGATTGGAATTTTGGTGGACAAAAATTTAACCCAATAGACAAAATCAAAAAATGGGATATTCTAAGAAAAGTGTTAAGCGCAGATATATCAGCCGAAGCCCATCACAAAGGCTCAATAGTGCAAAAAAAGCAGGTCAGGAGCTGTAAATTTGACAGAAATGTGAACAATCTTTTGAAGAAGTATACAGTACTCGGTTGAACCTTTTTTCAAATCGCGAATTTCCAACTGAATACACCCAAACTGTAATTTTTTTGGTATCAAAATATCGTATTTGATCACTATCAATTCGCGAAGTTTGTTTTGAGACCGTTTTAAGATCAAAACTTTTTTGTCATTACTGTATATGAACAAATGGCTGAAAAAATTTAGCTATAATGTAAGTTTGAAAAAAGATAAGTACAGCAAAAATTTCAAAATCCAATTTTTTATTGCGCTTTACATAAGTTCGGATGAGTTCAGACAATTTTGCTTATGATGTACGTTACTCATGATTCACGAACAATTTTAATTAATTAATTTTTAGGCATTTTTTGGGCTGAAATTCATGGTCGAGAAATATGTATTTTTTGCGGACATAGGCAATTTATGGGCTTTCAGAGACAACACACTGAGTTGACCAGATCGATCATGGATTTCACTGCATCGAAAAGAACTCAATACTCTTTAATCTGGAAATTAGTTTGAAAAACTATGAAAAACGACAAAATAAAAAAAGCTAGTTAATAGCTAGTTACTGTTAATCGATCGTGTCATTTTGGTGTAATTTTTAATGAAAGCCCATAAAATATCCTAAACCCGCAAAAAATCCATTCCCGACAGAAGTGGATTTAGGGTGGGGGGCGTTGGGTTTACACTTCCTTAGGGATTCGACCCCCTCACCAAGCAAAGGGTCTCCCTAGGCAATATTTTATGACATACTTTTTCGGGCAACCAACCCTGAAAGTTTTCTAAAAGATCATTCGGCGCCAATTTATACCAATTTTGGAGGGAGTGCGCGCCCAAAAAATGCGATTTTTAGTCAAAGTTTTCCAAAAAGTGCCCAAAAACGGCATTATGACCTGCTTTTTTATTCAAAAACTTGCCTGTTGCGATAAGCTTTTTGTCAAAATAGGGTCTTTTTAGTGATCTGGAAGCGCTAGGAGAATCATTTTTGTCGAAACCTAAAAAAGGGTCGATAAAATTTTCAAAAAAATTGAAAATCCCTCCTCGATAAATTTGCAGATCCGCCCCTCTCTCGACGCTGATTTTGGGCTCAAAATTTGCATAAAAAGTTACAGTCATGGAATTTTTAGTCACTTCTACCATATGCATTTTTTGTCTCATTGCCACTGAACTCATTTATAACCGTTATAAATGAGTTCAGTGGCATTGAGACAAAAAATGCTTTTGGTAGAAGTGACTGAAAATTCCATGAGTGTAAGTAACTGTGACGCAATCAAACTTTGTGGAGTTCGCATTTTGCTGTACGAATATGTTTGATCTGAGACTGTATTGTACCAAAAAAAACTGACTGAATTATGCAATGTGGCTATAATGTTAGTGTTATTTATTATTATTGCTATTATTATGATTCGTATTTAATTATTATTTGCGAAGAAAACTGCTGATTTAGCCGTCATTTATATCAGGTGGCACAGAAAATGCGCACAAAACAAATCCAAATACTTATCATTTTCTGAAATTGAACAGAGGAATAATTGAACAATTGGGAGAATCTATTTTCTATACAAAGTAGTTGCCGAGTCTGGAAAAAAAAGATATTTTATTGTGGCATCAACTCTGATGACTCGAGCATGAAGTTTAATGTTAGGACCAGCAATTGGTTGTCATTAATACTATTTTTAAAGGCAACAATGTCGGTTATGTACATCATTTCTTTTCAGGTGAAGAATTTTCAAAGATTAAAAAATTAAAAAATTTGATTCATGGGTAATTTTTTTTCACAAAAGCGATAAAGTACATGAACACAAAAGTGGCAAAATAATGTATGTGACCTTATTGACATTTTTAATTTGCAGAAATTTTGCAGAAATAATGTATGTGACCTTATTGACATTTTTAATTTGCGTTTTTGACATTTTTAATTTGCAGAAAGAAATTGCAAGTGAAAAGTTGAATCAAAATCAGGGGCAGATTTAGAGGAAGGGGAGGGGGGCAGAAAAAAGGTTGTCAAATGTTTCAAAAAGTTTTCGAAAATCCGCCCCCCTCGAGAAAAACCTAGATGTGCCCTTGATGAAAATGAAAAGAGCAGAACTGACGTGGACTCTGCGTATTTGAGTATGGTCTCGAGGTCCATGTGTCTGGAAATGAAGAATCTCCAGACTAGAGCGACGAGATACCAGGCCACAGCGAGACTGATGAGGATGATGGCAGTCCACTGGTAGTAGACTATTTCTTCATCTGTGCCCTCCATCTTCCCGTGGGAGGGGAGGGAGTTGTAGGGCAGATAGTAGGTATTCGACACCCAGCACATGTTGTCCGTGTACTGGTTCTTCTGCACTGAAACAAACCCAAACACATCGATTCACTCAATTTTTCTAACATTTAAGAAAGGAATACGAAAAAAAATCATATGATCACGATGTTATATAAAATTAACATCGTTTCATTTTTTATAGCAGCAGTAGTGAATTTAGAATTTAGAAGGGGTATCCAGTTTTAGTAACTGCCAACTTTTATGTTCGAGATTTTTTGAATATTTATTTTTGTGAATGAATAATACTGAATATTCCTACCATCAAAAGAGTTAGGTCCGATCGCAACTTGTTTGTTAGGAGAAACGATTCAAATTTTCAAAATCTTTTATAGGATATTAAGTCGATTTTGATTCTTCTGCAGAGGTGAACTTTACAATTAGCCCTTACGTGTGAAGTCGTTTTCAGTCCAACATTTGATAGTATCCCCCACAAACATCCTCATAGTGGTGAAGGTTGCGAAAAGTATGAAGAGAAAGGGAGTCACGGTGAAATTCAATTTGTCCACCAAGTCTGTGGACCGAGTAGAGCCCCCCTGCTTGATCAGACTCGTAATCTCACCCAACACCATGCTTATAAATAGATCTAGTTAAGTAACTAGTTATATTACACAGTGCCTCGATTACTACTGGTTACAGTTAGTATACCATTAATAATAAATAGTATCTCTATAATTGAAAAAAAAAATCTGTTAGATGGTTTGGAGTAACTATAATTCTGCTTGCAAAGTTCAAAAATGTTTGGAATTCTTGGCTGCAAATTGCGTGGATTTCTATTTATGGTCGGAAACAGCCAAAAACAGGGATATTTTGCAGTTCAGTTCTGTATCGAATGTGAAGATAAGGCAGTGGTTTGATGAAGTTTGAATTCCTTTTAGAAGATTCTAGGTTCGTCTAGAATAATTGTGGATCTTTCCGACGTTGTTTCCGTCGTCGCATGTTGGTCAGCGCACCTTCAGCTGGCGCTTCAGAATCGGTTTGTTCTAAAAGGAAGAAATTTTAATTTTTTAAAATGTGTCATCAAAAAGAAAGCTGGTTGTTGATTAAAATTCAACTTTAGTTTGCTTGGTTTGAACTAAAATCCGTATCAGTTTTTTGAGTGCTGCTGTTATAAACCAACTAGCCAAAATTTACTGTTTATATTGCAAAAGCTGCCAATTTGAGAACCGCCCGTTTAGAAAAAATTGAACTAAGTTTGTGAAAGATAAATGAAAGACGCGTGAAAAGCAAACAAACCTGATATTAAATTCCAATATCTGACAATGACAATAAAAATTTTGATTTTAGAAATTTTATTTGAACGCCGATGGGAGCAACGTAATGTGATGGTAAAGATGACTTTTACGCCTGGCCAATTTTAACAAGCAGATATTTTTGGGAATTGTAGTTGAAATAACAATTAGGCTCCTCGATTCCTTTCAAAAGCACCTGCTACAAACAGGTTATCATATAATCATCATTTGGTAAGAAAAGTAGAGATGAAAATTGGCGGCTAATAGCTGGATGCTTTGAAGTTAATATCATATCATATCCGTAATTGAAAATTGTTTCCGAAAATAGTAGACACCAATCACCGCGGCGTTATCGATATTTTTAGTCGGCCCTCATTTCAAAATAGTTAATTTTGAGAAACGAAAAACGAGACTAAGAAAAACTGTCTTATTTTCTGTTATTTCAAATGATTTTCATAACGGAACTATTAATTTGAACCTGCTGAATAAATTTATGAAATATGGAATGGTTTCTCTGTTGGTATGAATATTCTCTCGCGGGCTTTTGCGCAACTTTTCTGTTTTAATTCGAGGGATTAAACGGTAAGAAATACAATCAAATTGTAAACAAAATTACTTTTGATTGAATATCCGGGCCTCATTTAGACTTTCAGGCGCCCATTTCCCCCAAGTGACACGAAAATTTGCTGTTAATTGTCACAAAATGGAAAATTTCCCCCGAAACTGATTTCTCGATTTGAGGAAACATTTACTTAGTGCTAATAATATTTCTCTGTGAAGAGCACTTTTAGTGTAGTTTTAAACAAAATCATAAATTTTGATCGCCCGCACGAAGTTTATAGTTAACTTAACCCTGTGGACAATTAATGTCAGATGTTTATTTTCAGCACCATTTCAAGTGGAAACTATCCACAGAAAACTTCGAAAAGTAAACCAAAATTACTCTTCAAATATCCAGACTTGTCTTGGATCCAGAGTTGATTTTACAATTGAGAAGACTGAATGTTTAAACATAGCTTCCGGCTACTCTCAGAGAAGGAAATTTGGGAACTCTCCAGAAATTTAGCCGGAGTTTTGTAAATAGGAAAAGAGGGCTTTGAAATGGGTGGTTGAAAGTGAGTCGCATTTGAGGAATAGCTCTCGTAAAGCAATGGATCATTGAGGACCAACTGGTAAAAAAAAGGAGGAGCTGTTCCACAAATGGTAATCATGGCGAGACGCAACACCAAATCAGCAGCAAGCAATTTTTTTCAAATTTCCGCTCCGAAATTGAACAAGTCTGAGTTCGCGTCGCATTTTTTTAGATGCTTTATTTTTTCTCGTCTACAACTTGACGTAAAAACAAAGCTAAATGAACTAAATAAAGTAAAGCTGATGGGTCATTTTTGAATTTTGATTCATCATTGGTAAGAAAATCATGATAAACGTTTGAAAAACTACTCAAAATTACAACTCGACAAAAAATTATTTAATAAAATGTCAGAAACAAAATAAAACTATCTTGCGCAGCAGCAAGGGAAAAAAGTCGGAACTGAATAAAACACCGCAAGATGATATTTGGTGTCTAAAAAATTGACGTGACAGCTTGCTTTACAACATTAACATACTGAAATATACCGCAAATAACTAAATTTTCATTACAAATGTTGATTAATTTTAAATTACAATTTACAAGTCGATTGGAAATGAAAGTAAAATGTCACTTTTAGTACAAGTGGCACACAAGTAGTATACCAAGGAGAATTTTATTACAATTCCTACTAGATTCGAACGCGCCGGGGAGAAAATAAATATGCATGAGTACGCAAACTCTGTGAAGTCAAAAGGAAAGAAACCCATTTACGAAATGAGATCTTAGACAACTTTTTATTGTCAAAATATTTGGAATAATTGTACTTTAAACTTACTTGACTTTTAGTCCTTTCTTATTTGAAAAATCATCCAAAATGGTTCGATGAAACAAAAAAAATGAATAATTTCAAATTACTGGAAGTACAAAAGAACTTCACACCAGAAGCTGAAGAAGTTTTTTGTTCAGAGGAGTTGAATTGCAAAAAAATGAATGAAGAAATTCTTAGGCGTTGTTACATAATTGATACAATTAAAAGCAGATGCATCTAAGAATCGAAATCGATATTTCAGTTGCTGGTATTAAAAACAATGAAATTAGAAACAACTGCGCTTTTGATAGTATAAGCTCCAGAGGAAAATCATTTGGATGGTGAGTAATGTTCGATTTTCGGTTCCAACTAGGGAACCCCAGCTGTTTTTCAGCGCGAAAAACCCAAAATCGGGTAGCTTGCAGTTTTAAGTCACTTGTAACGATGCTAATTGAGACTCAAAAGTGCAAAAAGGCAATAACAGTTTGAGGCAACGTTCGTTTAAAAATAAGAGCTTAAGTTATAAACGCAACAGTAAATGTTGACCAAAAAAATAATCTCCAATTTATTTGCATAGCAATTGTAGCGATACAGTCACCAATATACAAAACTAATCTTTTACCAAAAACAACTGACTTTTCCAATTTGTTGTCATGGAGATAAAACACTTCATAAACACTTCATCTTCAAGCTTTTTAGGAACATTTTGTGAACTAAGTAACTTGGACGCATACCATGATAAAATTGGAAAATAAATATTAAAAAAATAGCTATCTTTAAATACTGGGGAGTTTTCTTTTCCTTATCAATCGATTTAAATTTTTATATTGTTTAAATTTTTTTCGTGTTTTGAGCGTCTGTCATATACGTCAAAACTTAGAAACATTTTTTGTTTTCTAAAAGATAAAATATTCGCAAGGCGACAATTTTGCGTTAGTAAGTAATGGTAACAATCGTATTATCAAAAGACTGCTTGTGTACACGCAAAATCTCAGTGTTTTCCTTTTTGACCAATGTGTTAATTGATTTGACTTTCAAAACTAACAAAATTAACGAATATTCGAAAAAGTGAAGTTTCAAAAGTATATCTTTCAATTTAGTAATTTCGAAGGTGACTGAGAAAAATTTTTGTGATATTTCCTTGAATCGCTTGACAAGCAAGATAATATTTCTTGACAAAGTTTGTTGTTCCGACATTCGATACGAAAGTAACGGAATATTTGTGCTCGGGGTGGGTTTTTTTTCTTCAGACAAATTTCGACTTTTTATCTAGCCATTTTGACTGAATTTTATCGTTTTTGACAGAATTTTATATCGTTCGAAAGGTATTGTTGTCTTGAGCCCAAATTTGAAAAGATATTTCACTTGTGATCTTTTTTCGTAAAGTTATGGGGGTTTAAAGATTGTCATTTTGGCCAACTTGGGACAATTAACGCGCGATATTTTTCGCGCTATTAACGCGTAAGCGGAGAATTAATCCGTCTTGGAAATCGTTCAACAAATTGGTTTAACGAAGCTTTTTTGCCATAATTGATTTGTTACAAGTAGCAAAATCTATCCTTTGTACTTTATATGGCGTGTGGGGGGATGATTTTTATAAGAAAAAATTTCAAATTTAAAAAAAAAAATTCATTTTGTTTCATTACTTTTAATTTTTTTAATGTTATTACTGCTCCATAAACCTTAATAGGCAGTCGGAACATTCAGGGCTTCACCCTGATACGAGCAATCTTGTTAATCTTGAGCTCAAACATTCAATTGACAATATCTGTATGATATTCGGGGTTTCGAAAGTTTCTTTTTGGTAAGACTTGAAGAGCTAAAATTCAGTTTTCAACTTTGCAAAAACATAAGCACCGAGTAATCCAACTAAAAAATTGAAATTCACTGAGTCGAGAAATGAGACCCAAACAATGCGTTACTTGACACAATTAAAATTTTTGTTTCCTGGCTTCGCGAATTAGATAGTTTTTTTATTGGAAAGAAGAATAATTCTGATGAAAATTGTTTGGAAGAAATTTAACAATTTTTGGCTTATTTAGTAATTCGTTCCTATAGAAACGGTCTCATTTCAAATGGAAAAAACTGCCCGTATATCAAACAAAGCCTTGAAATTTCCTTATGCATTTTATGTCCAATCAAAAATTTTTGATTGAAAAATTTTTATAAAAAACAAAAAAATAAATTTTGTTCATTTTTTATCCATCAAGTGAAGTACAAAGCGATGTTTGTAGCGTCTTGCATACTAATCATAAAGAAAAATGAATAGCTTCGATTCATTTCGGAACGGTTTAATCTGCTGGTTACACGTGTTCTAAGAACGAAAAATATCGAACATTTATAAGCCCAAAGTAGTAATTTTTCCACCCCCCATCCGATACAGTCCTTTAATGTCCAAAAAAGTACCATAATACAGTTTTGACAAAAAAAAACAAATTTGATAATAACAAAAAGAATACAAAAGTAATTCTATACCACAAACAACTGACTTTTTCAATTGGTAGTCATTGAGATAAAAAACTTCATATTTCAAGTTTATTAGGAACATTTTGTGAATTAAGTAACTTGGACGCGTGCCATAATAATATTGGAAAATAAGTATAAAAATAGCTATCTTTAATTACTTAAGAGAACTTGTAAAAAAGTTAAGAAGAAAGTAGAAAAGAAGATTTTCTCATGTAATTTGGTTTGAGTTTTTTGCTCGGATGGTTTGGATTTAAATTTTGAATTTTTTTTAACGCTTCTTAAATTGTAATGCAAGATAATGCTATGAGTCAATTGGAGAGAACAAGACCGCACACACCAGGACAAAGCCCTGAAAGTTCCGGCTGCCCTTTAACTGATCTCGAATAGTTTTCTTACCCAACAGTCAAATTATAATAGTAAGGGATAAAAATGTGTGTAGTATAAAGGGTCAATTTGACCAATTAATTTTTTTCTAATCAATTTAGAAAACTTTAGGAGCGGTTTAGCTCGAGACCCTTAAATAGTTTAGGCGTTTGTTTTCAACATCTCAGCTAAATTTTTGAGACCGCCTATAAAATATCCAAAATTGCCATATCTGTAATTAAGTAAAAGTGGAATTTTGATTTGCCTAACAAATCCTGGGATTTTTAAGATAAATGAAAACCAAAACCAATTTGTTTCTCGACTAATTGATCACCTAATTAATGCAGTATCCCATGTTAATAGTCACACATGCTTATCGCAATGCCACCACATGTATATTTTTCTGAACCTTTTGAGAGAAGATATGAAAAACAGAGCAGCTTACCTGAGAAAAGCCGAATAATGTTGTTGAATCAAGAATTTTCATCATTATTAGTTCGCCAGTTGAAGAAGAAATGTCAATTCTCTGTTGTTTTGACTGCACTTAATTTTCCAATGAAAAAGGACGGAAATTGGTAGGAAATTCTTGAAAGGAAAATTCAACAAAAAAAGAAGTTGAGCAAATGAATTGATCGGTCACACAAATAAACGGACAATGTAGACAAAAAAAATCAAATACAGAAGTTTCGAATCGATACCCAGGGCTCAAATGACCCATTTAGGGCGTGCATTATGTCCTAAAAATGGCCATAAGCGACATAAAATGACCATTAAATGGACAGCTGCAAGTGAAATATTAGCCCACCTTCTTTTACACAAATCGGGCGAAAAATCTGAACGAAATCTGGGAAAAGTTGGAAACTGGTGGTAAAATTTGAGTTTGATTGAACTGTAATTTGGCATAAAAAGTGCATTAATCCCATTAAAAGTGAACAATTCCAAAGGCTCCTTTCTTTTTCTTCGGCCTTTGGAAATACATTAGTGAAACAAGGGTGGGGTAAATCACCCAAAAGCATTTAACTTTAAATTCCAGCCCAGCCCATTTAGCCAGAGATCTGATTTTGGCAACGGGGGGTCTAGATAAAGATGCTTTAACCTCCTGAGAATTCGAAGCGACAGATAACTTTTAGAGCCCTGCTTATTTTTATCGACTTGTCACTTGTAATATCTTCACAAAAGTTACCAATCTACCTTTATAATCGCATTGTACGCACTTGAGGGCGAACATAATTAAGCAAAATGAAGTCGACTTTCCACCATTTCTACCATTTTTTTTACCTTCTTAGGAGAATAATTTAAGTAAAATTCATTTGGAAAAAAAAGTTGAGCTCAACTTAAGTCCAATATATTCTCTAATCTCAGTTAAGGCTCTCAAGAATGTGAAGTTTCTTACTACGAATTGAAATATGTGGTCAATTAGTCCGAAATTTATGCTTTTCTGTGAAGCCCAAAAACTCTGGATTAAAATAAAGAAAAATTTACATAAACTTGTCTTTGGTATTCAGAAGACACTAAAAGAGTTCTCAAATGAATTTATATTGATTTTTCTTTTTGATGTGACAGATTTCTGATCATATCCAAAATTGGTAAGGAAAAAAATGGGACAACTTGACTCTGAGCCGAATGGACAATTAGATGAAAATTAAACTAATCCCGCCCCAAATGTCAGTTTTAATGGATTTTTCGGGGTAATTGGGTGGAAACCACATATTCAATACATTCTTTTTTTTAAACATTTTTTTAAACATTCAAATTATTGTTTCATTTGACTAACATGTTTTTTTTTCTTGTATGAAGAAAGTTTCAAATACTATTTGACTTGGGTTTTATGTCTCGAGACCCTTTATGTCTCGGTTTTATGTCTCGGTTTAGCTCGAGACCCTTAAATAGTTTAGGCGTTTGTTTTCAACATCTCAGCTAAATTTTTGAGACCGCCTATAAAATATCCAAAATTGCCATATCTGTAATTAAGTAAAAGTGGAATTTTGATTTGCCTAACAAATCCTGGGATTTTTAAGATAAATGAAAACCAAAACCAATTTGTTTCTCGACTAATTGATCACCTAATTAATGCAGTATCCCATGTTAATAGTCACACATGCTTATCGCAATGCCACCACATGTATATTTTTCTGAACCTTTTGAGAGAAGATATGAAAAACAGAGCAGCTTACCTGAGAAAAGCCGAATAATGTTGTTGAATCAAGAATTTTCATCATTATTAGTTCGCCAGTTGAAGAAGAAATGTCAATTCTCTGTTGTTTTGACTGCACTTAATTTTCCAATGAAAAAGGACGGAAATTGGTAGGAAATTCTTGAAAGGAAAATTCAACAAAAAAAGAAGTTGAGCAAATGAATTGATCGGTCACACAAATAAACGGACAATGTAGACAAAAAAAATCAAATACAGAAGTTTCGAATCGATACCCAGGGCTCAAATGACCCATTTAGGGCGTGCATTATGTCCTAAAAATGGCCATAAGCGACATAAAATGACCATTAAATGGACAGCTGCAAGTGAAATATTAGCCCACCTTCTTTTACACAAATCGGGCGAAAAATCTGAACGAAATCTGGGAAAAGTTGGAAACTGGTGGTAAAATTTGAGTTTGATTGAACTGTAATTTGGCATAAAAAGTGCATTAATCCCATTAAAAGTGAACAATTCCAAAGGCTCCTTTCTTTTTCTTCGGCCTTTGGAAATACATTAGTGAAACAAGGGTGGGGTAAATCACCCAAAAGCATTTAACTTTAAATTCCAGCCCAGCCCATTTAGCCAGAGATCTGATTTTGGCAACGGGGGGTCTAGATAAAGATGCTTTAACCTCCTGAGAATTCGAAGCGACAGATAACTTTTAGAGCCCTGCTTATTTTTATCGACTTGTCACTTGTAATATCTTCACAAAAGTTACCAATCTACCTTTATAATCGCATTGTACGCACTTGAGGGCGAACATAATTAAGCAAAATGAAGTCGACTTTCCACCATTTCTACCATTTTTTTTACCTTCTTAGGAGAATAATTTAAGTAAAATTCATTTGGAAAAAAAAGTTGAGCTCAACTTAAGTCCAATATATTCTCTAATCTCAGTTAAGGCTCTCAAGAATGTGAAGTTTCTTACTACGAATTGAAATATGTGGTCAATTAGTCCGAAATTTATGCTTTTCTGTGAAGCCCAAAAACTCTGGATTAAAATAAAGAAAAATTTACATAAACTTGTCTTTGGTATTCAGAAGACACTAAAAGAGTTCTCAAATGAATTTATATTGATTTTTCTTTTTGATGTGACAGATTTCTGATCATATCCAAAATTGGTAAGGAAAAAAATGGGACAACTTGACTCTGAGCCGAATGGACAATTAGATGAAAATTAAACTAATCCCGCCCCAAATGTCAGTTTTAATGGATTTTTCGGGGTAATTGGGTGGAAACCACATATTCAATACATTCTTTTTTTTTAAACATTTTTTTAAACATTCAAATTATTGTTTCATTTGACTAACATGTTTTTTTTTCTTGTATGAAGAAAGTTTCAAATACTATTTGACTTGGGTTTTATGGAGCACGAGGCGACCATTTTTAACAGGCGACCATTTTTAACAGGCGACCATTTTTAACAGGCGACCATTTTTAACAGGCGACCATTTTTAACAGGCGACCATTTTTAACAGGCGACCATTTTTAACAGGCGACCATTTTTAACAGGCGACCATTTTTAACAGGCGACCATTTTTAACAGGCGACCATTTTTAACAGGCGACCATTTTTAACAGGCGACCATTTTTAACAGGCGACCATTTTTAACAGGCGACCATTTTTAACAGGCGACCATTTTTAACAGGCGACCATTTTTAACAGGCGACCATTTTTAACAGGCGACCATTTTTAACAGGCGACCATTTTTAACAGGCGACCATTTTTAACAGGCGACCATTTTTAACAGGCGACCATTTTTAACAGGCGACCATTTTTAACAGGCGACCATTTTTAACAGGCGACCATTTTTAACAGGCGACCATTTTAACAGGCGACCATTTTTAACCGACAGGCAACAACTAAGGCGATCTTTTTTTTCAACCGTACGAACATCTACTACAAAAAATTTCGTAAGCAATTTTTATTATTCTGACTCTCTTCCACGTCAACAAATTTCGGAAAAAGGAAAAAAAACTTTAGTCATGGTGGGTATTTTTTCCGCGCAAGTTTAGTCACTAGAATCGTATACGACCGAAGTTGGTGACATTTCCAACCACTTTCAGCTGTAATTGACATTTAAAATGAAAAGTTTTTTCAAGGAATAGGACTTTTGAGATTCTTGCTGGGGTTTACATAAACTTTTTTGGGGTTACATTTAATATGCGGTTTACATAAAGTCTTACAATTTCAAAGCCTGTTAAAATAAATGCAAGTTATTGCTTTAAAAATATAGGCGATTTACAAGAAAAAGATTTTAAAAAGTAAGCACAGTTGGGGTCTCACAAAAAGAAAAATCACAAATTTTTCGAAAACTTGAAGTATTTGATTTCTCAGCGCTACGATTTATTTGAAGAGAGCAATACTGCTCATATCATGACAAAGCTTTGATTAGTTCTTGTGCAATATTATTGTTCCGACTTTCGATACGAAAGTAACGGAATGTTTGTGCTCGGGGTGGGTTTTTTTTCTTAAAGTTATGAGGGTTTAAAGGTTGCCATTTTGGCCATTTTGACCAATTTGGGACAATTAATGAGCAATATAGTTCGAGCTATTAACGCGTAAGCGGAGATTTAATCCGTCTTAGAAATCGTTCCAAATTGGTTGAAAGAAGCTTATTTGCCATAATTGGTTTGTTTCAAGGAACGAAATCTATCTTTTTGTACTTTTAATGGCGTGTGGGGGGATGATTTTCATAAAAATTTCAAATTTTAGAAAAAAAAATTCATTTTATTTTACTTCATTTAATTTTTTAATGTTATTATTGCTCCATAAACCTTAAAAGGCAGTCGGAACATTCAAGGCTTCGCCCTGATACGAGCAGTTTTGTTGAAATTTGAAATTTGCCAATTTTGTACAAGTAACGCGCGATATAGTTCACTCTATTGAAGAGTAAGCAATAAATTTTTTTTTTTCAATATGAGCGGTCTGGTTTGAGTAAATTTTTAAGAACGCAAACTTTGTTTTGTTATACTTAACATAGCAAGTAAATGAATAAAAAGAAGAAAAAAATTGAAAGAAAATTCTAATCAAAATTTTTTCAATCGCTATTAAGAAATAGACAAAATAATCAAGGCTTTGTCTTGGTACGAGCAGCTCAATTGTTCCGACTTTGGAAGAAAATGCCAGAATTTTGGGTAATTTTTTCAGACCAATGTGTCTTTTAAATTGAGCTCTTCAAAAGAAAACTTTGTTTAACATCTGAAGATATTGTCAATTTGGGCTCAAAACAGAAGAACAATTGAAGCGCGTAAAATTTCACTTTTTCATTAGCACAGAGCAAATGCAACAAAAAATACTACAGCTCAAAAATTATTCCAAATTGAGTTTTTACAAGCGCATTTGTCCAAAAATTATATGCAAAAGGTATCACTTGTTTTTAGATTGGAGGTGGCAGAAAGATTTTCAAAAAAAAATGTAATAAATTTCCCTTCAAATTTCTTCAAAAACACCATAAAGGACAGTCGGAACATTCAAGGCCTCGCTTTGATGAAAGCAGTCTTGTTGTTCCGATTTTCGAAGAAAATGTGAAATATTTCTGCTTGGTGTGCATTTATGCTTGGTGTGTTTATTCGGTCAATTTTAGACTATTTAACTAAGCATTTTTGACGGAGTTTTTTATATTATCTGAAAGATATTGTAATCATGATCTGAAATTTAAAAAAAATATTTCTTTTGTGATCAATTTTAAGTTAAGTTGTAGGGATTTGAAAGTTTCTAATTTGGCAAAATTGGGATAATTAACACGCTACATATTGCGTAATATAACACGCGTGAGCGGCAGATTAATGCGTTCTAAATTGAATAGAGGCAAAACATTTGGTCGTATCATTAGAATACAAGACGCTAAGTACATCTCTTAGTAGTTTACATTAACGTGTCGGTGGATAAATTTTTGGAAAAAAAGTTTTAAAAAAAATATTTTTTTTTAAATTTTTTAATTATTTTGTCAATTTTTCAGCCAGAAAACTTCTAAATTGGACTTAAAATGCAGTCGGAACGTTCAGGGCTTTGGCTTGATATGCGAGCAGTCTTGTTTTTTCTAAAATTGAAATGTTTACAGTAAAAACACAATTATATCATCAATAGGAGATGTTTCGACGTTTAATTGAGTCCTATGCCAATCATTGCAACTTTCTACACAAATAGATTTTAACTAAT